CTGTTGAAATGGACAGGTGCCCCAGAAAAGCTGTTAGGTTAAAAAAAGAAAAATTACTGTGTAGTATATAAAATATATTTTAATTAATGTTTATGTATTAATATTGTTATAGCTCAGCATGCATTTATTAGAATATATACACACACATGCATATTTGTTATCAATATATACATACACATGGGTGTGGAGGCATATATAAATGATTATACATATCAAAAGCCTGACTCAGTGTGGCGGTGCATGCCCGTAATCCTAACACTCAGGAGGCTAAGGTAGGAGGATGGCTGTGAGTTCAAGGCCAGCCTCAAGGAGCTCCAGGATACCAAACTATTATCAGCTGTTTTCTCTCAGATAGAGATTATAGAAGACTAGTGTCTCCTAAATTGTACGTTCCTGTAATGTTTGAAAAAGTTTTAACAACAGATTTGTTTCTAATTTTTAAATTTTAATAAAAAAGAACTCTGTATACTCAGTAACATGAATAAATCTACCTTCCACTCTAAAAATTTCACTAAAATAATAGCTAATACATTTAAAAAGACATACATGGGCCGGGGATATAGCTTAGCAGCACAAGAGCTTGCCTGGCAAGTGCAAGGTCTTGAGTTCGATTCCCGATACAAAAAAAAAAGACATACACCCACAAAGACAGTAAGGGAGGATGATACACAAAAGATGTCAACAACGTTTAGGTCACGAAAAGCAAGCAGGTGAGTGGCAACCGAGATCAGAGAAGGTAGAGAACTAAGCATCCTGTAGGGGAAGTGGAAAAAAACAACCATCTGGTGGCACAAACCCCAGAGTGTGGTAGGATGTGAGACATCGGAACAGGGGTCCTGGGTGGAGATGAAGACACAGGCTTGTGTCACAAGTGCTTAGGGCCCTGATATCATCACTCACCTAAGCAGAAACTGACCTTTCTGGAAAGGCTGAACCCCAGGGCACTGGATTCCAGACTACCACGCCAAGTTTTGGGGACAGGTGCTCCCTGCTCCTGCTTACCTCAAACCACCCCACACCTGTTCAAACTCTAGGGGGAAAAGACCAACTGAAGGAAAAGGCTTTCAGAGATGTGGACGGCCAGAGGCTGCCCAGTGAGATTCCCTGGTATCTGCCAAAAACACTACAGCGAAGCCCTTGTCTTTCACTCCCTGTATATACATATCAAACCTTTGAAAATTACTTTTTAGTGCCTCTTAAATGTGAAGAGACAACACAAAATCTCTTCACATCTGAGGGAAGGCTCTAAGATGAGAAAGTGAGCAAAAGCATAAAAATGGAGCCTGGAGGAATTAGACAATATGAGCAAAAATCCTAAAATCAAGCAAACTATGATACTATCCTCAAAAAATTAGATTCTAGAAGCCAGGAATATAGCTCAGTGGCATAAGCACCTGCCTGACAAGCACAGTCCTGAGTTTGATTCCAGGTACCAAAAAAAAAAAAAAAAAAAAATTTAGATTCTAGGACTCTATTTTTCAAAAAAGGGACAGTCAGAGAACAAGAAAGAGCTCTTAGAAATTAACAGTAAGACAGCAGAAACTTTTTAAAAATCAAGACAGCAAGGTGTGGTGGTGCACACCTGTAATTCCAGCACTCAGGAGGCTGAGGCAGGAGGATCGTCATGAGTTTGAGGCCAGCCTGGGCTACATAAGCAAGTTCAAGGCCAGCCTATATAGCAAGATCCTGTCTCAAAAAAGAAAAAAAGACAGATAAAGCAAAAAGCTCATTGGTCTTATAGGCCATAGGAAGGATTGTGGCTTTATTTTTAGCAGGAAGCCACTGGAAGTTTCATCAGAATGATATGATTTATCAGATGATCTACTGAGACTGAGTATAGACAAGGCCAGAAGCAGGAGATTGCTGAAGAGGATACTGGGTCATTTGGGGAGAGAAATGACCACCTCTCAGGCCAGGAGCAGCAAAAAGTAATGAAGACAGGTTGGACTGTGAATACATTCTGAAGGTTGCATCAACATGATTTTGGCATTTGGTATTTTAAACTGAGTTAGGAAATGGATTTAAAAAAAAAAAGATGTGGTCTTTTTATATAATAGAGTATTAATACTCAGCCATAAAGAAGGATAAACTGGAGACTTTTATAGGTAAATGTATGCAACCTGAGTCCATACTCATAAGTGAAATAAACCAGATGCAAATGTATAAACATCATACTGTCTCCCTAGTGTGAGAAGCTGAAAGAGTAAATGTGATCCAAAATGTACAACAGATATCGTAAAAAGGGAAGAAACTTCAAAAGGAAACAGAAACTGGTTTAGGGGAATGGGAAAGGGGAAGGAAGGGAAAAGCAAAAGAAAAATAATATGTAAGTATATGTTTAAAATAGTTAAGACAGACTTGCTACTAAGTTCTCTCAGCCCACTGAAAAGATAGGTTTGCATTAATACTGTCTGGGCAATTAAATGCTGGTATCTTGTACTCTGAGTAGGTAATTCAAAGATAACAACGCACCATGTGGCAATGTGTTGACCGTTATTACCCTCCTATCGTATTGCTCTGGAATTTTGTTCTTATGCTTATATGTTTATTGTTTTTTGTTTCTTTTTTCTTAAAATAAAAATAGGAAAAAAATAAACTGAGGTAGCAAATGCAAGAAGCATCAAGGGTGACTTCCAAGTTTTTGACTGGAGCACCCTCAAAGGATGGGAGTTGGTCTCTACTAACGTAGGTAGGACGATACATGCAAAGGATCAAGATTATTTCAGTTTTGGATTCATCAAGCTCAAGACAGAGGTCTGGACTTGGTGTACATATCTGGATTATCTTGGGATTTGATGACGTTACTATGGTTTGAGGGACACAGAGAAGCAGTGTAGGGACTGGAGTTGAGATGTTTCAACAGACAGGAAGCAAAAAGGTGGGGTTCGAAAAAGCAGCCAAATAAGCAGAAGAAAAACTGTGAGACGACAGGAACTGGGAGAATTTTTTCCCCCCTTGGTACTAAAGGAACTGAACTGAATTCAAGCCAGGGCTACATCCCCTTTATTTTCATTTTGAGACAGCGCTCACTCAGTTGCTCAGACTGGTCTCCAACTTGTGATCCTCTTGCATCAGCCTTCCAAGCGGCTGGGATTACAGGTGTGAACTGCTATGTCTAAGAGAAAGGACTTATTGAGGACAGGAATGATGGTGCTGTGGGCTGGGTAACAGTCTGCAAAGATGGAGTATTGAAGTCTTGGTAGCCAGCTTG